ATTCTCATTCATAATTCCAAATTACGAATGTTGGACCCAATCATATTGACTTCCAATCATGCAAAGATAAACTATTTTATCTCAGACCGTTTATTCAAAGATCTCATGTGCACGAGCAGTGTGACCCTCGATGGTTCAGGTGTAAGCTAGCCGTGGGCCCACAACTCTTTGTGGTCAAAACTCGTCCCTTAGAGTTACGATTAAGATGAAGCTCGTTTCACCTTAATCACCCAACGAATCAAGATTGGCGTCTAGCAACTACGCGTCATGATTCCCTAGATACAAATGAAGTGCCTGCAAGATCCTTCAGATATAGTTAACGCACAGTACGGTCCCTTCGATTCATATGTCCTGATTGAACTAGAGGCATTGGTTCATCGAGACCTCTTTATATGTTCAATGACGGTGCAATCGTTCTAAGTATTGTAATCGTCACGTGCATGACTTAGAGAATCGAATCCTCTAATCATCACTTAGTCAGCTCTGGCCAGAGACTTAGAATGATTACAAACTATCAGAACACACAGGACATCCAAGACTATTCTAGCGATCGAATCCCCGACTACAATGCACATACCTCCCACTAGATTTCGGACTGCACGAACACTGGCCCTTGGGATGGTCCTCGGTGGAACTCAGGGACAGGTCACGATAGAGCTGGTCCTCTAGTGAAGTCACGGTGATGTCTAGGTCATAAGGACTAATGGTGTACAACTATACCATAGATATCTCTACTCGATTATTGGGAACCACTTAGAGATTTCTAGGGTGAGGGAGTTCAGTGAACTCGTCAACTTACGAGCACCCACTTATGCATGCCGATATCACAATACCGTTTACTGATCATGAGATGCAGTACACATACACTAAGTGCTAGTCTTAATGGGAAAGGCCGATATCCTCATTAGTGGCGTAACCCTTCGACTAGGAACACGTTTAACAGTTATAATACTTAAGTAAATATCTCACGATCCTAACGATCAATTACTAGTACTTGTAATAACTGTAAGGACTATATCTATGCTTGTGACCAAGATATAGAATGCCAAGGTGTTTTATCATTAATACGAATAAAGGTTCGTTTATTACAATAATAAATACGAAAGACCACAGCCACATGTTGGCTTGTTGGTCACCTACTCTAACATCCGGATGAGAAAGTTATGCTCGACTTTGTGGACACTACCGAAGATGTTGAGGGATCTTCACTTCAAATTTGATTTTATTTTCCTAATTGCAACTCTTTTCTTACTCTTTGATCATATTTTGCTTCATGTACACCTAATTTTTGATTTGTACCTATAAGATACCAAATCCACCAATTAAAACATAAATATAAATTAATCCAAAAAAATATCCACTTAAACGTAAACGTAGAGTGTTATTTCTACACTAAACTGTATTTTTTTTGTCTAGTGTTTTTGTTGTTGTTTGTTGATGCATATTAAAGTTCTAGTGTTGTAGTTCGTGTTTTTAAGAACGTTGCTGCGAATTCACTTTTGCGCATGTTTTTTTACATGTACGTTTGAGCATGTCCATTTGAGCGAGTGTTTTTATGCATGTTTGTTGCTTTGTATTAATGACATTCTTATCTATAGCAAATATCTGGATGATCATGTTGTGCATTTGAAATCTGTTTTACATGCGATTAAGGAAGAGAAGTTGTATGCTAATTTGCAGAAATGTACATTTTGCACGGATAAGCTTGTCCCTGTCTCAAAGGTACACCTTAATCTCTACTCTTAATGTTAAATTACTTGGTTTTGAAAAAAAATAAGGAGTTGTAAATTCAAGATGCTGATTTTGGTACTATTTATCAAGCATGTGAAAAGGGTGCATTTGATAAGTTCTATAGGGATGAGGCATTCTTGTTTAGGGAAGATAAACTTTGCATTGTGTTCTATACGTGAATTACTTGTGCTTGAATTGCATGGGGGAGGTCTTATGGGTCATTTTGGTTTCGAAAAGACATTACACATGCTGAAAGAACACTTTTATTGGCCACACATGAAGAGAGATGTTGAGAGAATTTGTAGTAGGTGTGTTACATGTCGTCAAGCTAAGTCTCGAGTATAGCCCCATGGTTTATACACACCATTGCCTATTCCCAATGAACCATGGATTGATATTTCTATGGATTTTGTGTTAGGTTTGCCTAGGTCAAAACATGGTAGGGATTGTCCTTTGTTGTCGTTGATAGATTTTCTAAAATGGCGCATTTTATACCATGCCACAAAACTGATGATGCGTCGCATGTTGCTGGTTTGTTCTCCAAAGAAGTTGAGGATCCATTTTTTTGTTTTGAAATTCGGACAAAATTGTACCATTTTTAAGGTAATAACTACCCTTGTGTCGTAATGTAGATTAGAGGAGACCTACACGTATGTCTGATGGTATTGGAAGGAGGATCTCTGGTAAGAGTCCTTCCACGAGTCCCTCCAATTTTTACCTTTCTTTCAGTTAAGGTGAACTTACAAGCATCACTGTTCCAATCGGTTGCATCAGGTACTGGCGGATATGGGCATATGTGCAATCGATGAGTTTGACAAAATGGACGAATCAGATCGCACGTCAATACATGAAGCAATGGAGCAGCAAACTGTCAGCATTGCTAAAGTTTGTATTACCACTTCCTTGAATGCACGGACTGCTATACTTGCTGCCGGTAATCCAGCCTGGTACAAAATTCACAAACTCTCGGTTTTCATTTTGAAATTCAAAACACATTCATTTTGTCACAATTTACCTGCTTCAGTTTTTCCTAATGCTAAGTTTGATGACTTTTAATATCTTTTTTTTTTAAATAAATAAATCAAGGGGGAGATATGATCTAAGGAGAACACCAGCTGAGAATATTAATCTGCCACCTGCTCTTCTGTCAAGGTTTGATCTCCCGTGGTTGATTCTCGACCGAGCAGATATGGATATTGATCTTGAAATGGCTCGTCATGTTCTCCATGTCCACCAGATGAAGGAATCTCCAGACCTCGGGTTTGCTCCACTCGAACCTTCTGTTCTTAGGTAAAATCGTACCTCAAAGATTTTACTTTCTGAATAACTTGGTGAATGATTTTGCATGATCTGATAAACTGTTGTCATGAATTGTAGGGCGTATATTTCTGCTGCAAGAAAACTGTCTCCTTTTGTTCCAACGGAGTTGGAGGAATACATAGCAAGTGCGTATTCTAGTTTACGGCGGGAAGAGGCGAAATCAAATGCCCCTCACTCTTACACAACAGTCAGAACCCTACTTAGCATTCTTAGGATATCTGCCGTAAGTGCTTATATTAATAAATATCCTATTGACTATTATTCTTCTTTGGTGGAGAAGCAATTGATTACTAATCGATATTAATCTTTTTCTTGCTTTGGCAAGACTCAGATTCTCCCACACAAGACTTGGGGGTGTATATGTCAGGTAATGAGTTTGATCAAAACAAACAAAGAGAAGCAGGTAATGAGTTTGATGCTGCTGGCAGTTCAAAAACATAAGTGACCAATCTGAACAGCAGAATTGAGGGGCTTGAATCTGAGAAAAGATATGAAGCAGAATCTGCAAACTTTGATTGATTCGACCCTAAAAGAAGAGCAGAAGCCGAATGATGTTGATACAGACTTTGAAGATCAACAAGAAACAATGCGGGACATCGAAACAAAAAAAACATGTGGTGTGCACAAAAGGACGCGCACAAAACTGAATCAAACTGAAAAGAAGAATTGTAAATTAGCTGTTGCCGATAGGACATTAGGAAAACGTTAAGAGCCTGCATTCAACAACAACCAACCAGAGACGGTCAAGAAAAAAAGCACAAGGTATTCAGGTTGATGAAGAAAAGGTTCGAGCTATCCAGAATGGCCAAGTCCGACGAGTGTAGCGAATGTTCGAAGTTTTCATGGCCATGCTGGTTTCTATAGGAGGTTCATGAAGGATTTTAGCACTATTACAGACCAATGACCGAGGTGATAAGGAAGAATGTGGTGTTCAAGTGGGGGGAAAAGCAAGAGAAAGCATTTCAATTAATTAAGGAGAAGTTAACCAAAGCTCCTTTACTTGCTCTACCAAATTTCGCGAAAACATTCGAGATCGAGTGCAATGCTTCCGGAGTAGGCATAGGCGCTGTTTTGATGCAAGAGGGACGACCTATTGCATATTTTAGTGAGGAGTTGAGTGGGGCAGCCTTAAACTACCCGACTTATGATAAGGAGTTGTATGCCTTGGTTCGAGCTTTAGAGACATGGTAGCATTATCTTTGGCCTGAGCAGTTTGTGATTCACACGGATCGTGAATCAATGAAGCACTTGAAGGGACAACACAAGATGAACAAGAGGCATGCTCGATGGATGGAATTCATTGAGTCATTTCCTTATGTCATCAAATACAAGCAAGGTACAGAGTGACGTGGACGAGTCACTTAGGTTAATGCAAATGTCCAAGTTCTCACTGTACTCTGACGACCGTCACAAGTCTGGTCTCGACGCAATTTCTGATATTTATTCTATCCTACGCGACGAAGCTGCAAGATCCAACAAGGTGGATGTCAGCTATGCCAATGCCCTGAACTGGATTTCAAGAAAGGTACAAAACGACAAATAAATTATATTTAAATCAACTTTGAAAAAGTTGTTCAAGTTTGCTAATAATATGGTGATCGATGTATTGCTTTAATTGGCAGGATATCTAATCATCGAGCGAATCTTGTTGTTAACAGGGATACAGTGAAGCCCAGTTGAAAGAGTGCTTCGAGGAATACGCAACCTTAAACGTGTGGCAGATCCATCCAAATACGTTCGACATCTGTTTCATCGATTCTTAAGACCAAGTTTAACATTGGGACTGTTAGAATGTGAATGTGACAACTTAAGACAAATGATTTGTTTAGATGGTTTTTTAACGAACGTCTTAGGCTCGGTTAAAAGCCCTAGTTGTATACTTACTGGTACGAATTGAGTAGAGCTTGTTTCTTCTTATATAAACAAATATTTATGAAGATTTTCTCATGTCATGTTATAAAACAAAAAATATTATCGATCTCTTGCCCCTTCTTGTGTGCAGTTAGTGCGATGATTAGTATACGAACACCGTAACTTTCCTCTGCTTTTCTGATTCTTGCCGTTTCTTCGACTCCATTCATCACCGACATCTGCCAAAATAATACACATATCGATAATATACAATAAACTGTCGAAGAAATTAGGATTGAAAAAAAAAGATCGGGGCGTTTTATTTTACCTCACAGTCCATTAGTATACAATCGAGTAAAGTCTTCGAAGCTCCAACATGATTTCCTTCATCTAGACTCTTGCAGAATAGTTTCCAAGCTTCTTCTCCGTTTTCACACGGAAATATACTTGCACCAAGTTGCACACCCACGAAAGTAGCAATCGTTCGACCGATTGGATCATCGTCCGCCACGAGTACTTTCCTCCCCAGCAACGGCTTCTTTTTGCTGTTTGCCCCTCAAACTTCCTCAATCTCACACTTTGATCCTTTCACATAACTCTTACTTGCCCCCCCATCCGAACTAGCAACATCATTTCCACGTCGAATGTTTTCAACACTGTGTGAAGCTTCTCCCCTTCTTGGGGGCGGCAGCCCCCCAAATTCAGGTAAAAGCCCAATAGTCTGATACAAGTGGGACCCGTGAAGCGGCATCGAAATGACTAAATCCAACGGTGGCAGATTATCCTCATCAAGCCCTTATAAACTATCAAGCCAAACAACTCTACTGCAACATTTTTCACTCAAGTCCCTTCTAAATTCAGCCACGGCCCTACTTATGTGCCTAAACAGGCCCACACTCGTGTCGATCACAATCAAAACAAAGCCCGAATAACCGGCACGAGGATTAGGTAAAACGTCGTCCGTTCCTTCTAGAGCACTCAAGGGGAACTCTTTTTTCGAACGTGCACTAGAAGTAGTGGATTTTCCCGAAGAGCTATAGTGGGATAAATTCAGCTTCCGCTTGATCCTCTTCAAAGACGGAGAGAGTTGTTCGTACTGCTTCACAATGTGTACTTTAATCCCGATTCTGTGCATGAAACCTTGCAAGAGAGTGCTTCTTTCGGGACTATCAATCAAGAGCAGGACTTGTGAGCCTTCATTTTTCAGGCTGTGGGTACGTAAACTAGTACCTGAGTGGCAAAATGAGCCATGGCTAATAGACTCGATATCAGCACTCGGAGAAGAATTATTATCCGTTTAGAAAAACGCGTTGAACCGGTTACAAATCCCTCTCTCGCCCGCTTCTTTATCCATTATTCCTCTCTCCCGCCCATTAAACGAACCTACACATCACCATCATCAATCAAGAAAAAGCAAAAAAACAAAAAAAGAAAAAAAAAAGTTATTATAGTTTGTTTTACCAGAGATTGAACAATGCCTAGCCCAAAACCAGTGCCTTCTTGACCGAGTGCAGTTTCTTTGACTTGTACGTAGTTTTCAAAAACCGATTTTTGCTTCTCTTTCGGAATCCCTTTTCCCGTATCGTTCACCTCAAAAACAAACTCCACGTGGTTATTTGTTTCCCTTTGAGTAGCTTCCGATTCACTATACGCTCTTTGGATCTTGAACAAGAACAAAAGACACCTTATCGAGTTGCTTTTGTTCGAAGTAATAATCCCGCTCTCAAGACTCGGTTTTTTAGCCCAAACTCGAACCACCACATGCCCGTTCGACGTAAACTTCACAGCATTGCTCAACAAGTTGCTGAAAATCTGTTTCAGTTTCCCTCTATCACCTCTCACACAAGAAAATTTCGTGACCGAGCCATCGAACGGGTCCAAAATTACATCCACGCCCTTCTTCGTACCCACAGGGTGGTACAAATCAACCACATCTTCCATTAGTTTCTCCTAGCCGAACTCTTCCTCATCGAGCTACATTTTCCCTACCTCTATCTTACTCGTATCGAGAATCGAGTTCAAGATTCCCAAAAGATCCCTCGTGCAAGATTCCATTTGCAGTTGATTCGCAGGTATTTCCGATCTAAGTGGGTCCCGCTTCGAAACCTCGTTCCGGCATATTTCTATTAGGCCGTTGCTAAACAAGCACGTATGTCATGGCTTGCGCTTGCAGAGGCTAAGCTCTTGTTCATGCTCTTTCGCTCCGATTGTTGAGTTGCTTCCATTTGGCTTATGAGGGCCCCACAGAGATGCATCTCTCTTCCCGCAACTTCGACAATTAGATACACGAATGTCAAGATCGTAATAACCACAGCGCCAATCATTAGCATTAACAGAACGAATGTCAGTTTTATGTTCTTGTGTACTATTAAGTGTATATTTCTACACTTAGTTGTACCTTTTAATTGAAGCTTTTGGTGGTTTTTAATGATAATTGGTGCTTAAAATGGTTCTTATTTGTATTTTAGGTGCAAATTGAAGAATTGGCAACTTATGGGGTAAAAACTGCAAATTCGGAGAAAAAATGGGCCAAAAGTGAAATAATCAGATTTCTGAAGAACTGAATACCGCGCGGCCGTGCAAATTTCAGCATAAATCTCAAACGGCCGTCCGGATGGTCGAGGTGGCGCAGTGAAGGAAGTTTAATTACACAAGGAAACCCGCCCTATTATATTTTTGCACCCTATTTAAAGGCCAAAAGCACACAATTACCGGACTTTTTTACCTTTTATCTTTTATCTTGAGTTTTTATCTTTCATCTTTGGAGACGCAATCGAGGAGCACAAGAACGAAGACGAAGACTTGACGACTCTTCATCATAGTTCTCCTCTTTGATTTTTATTTTTAGTCTTTATGTTTTTTCGTATTTTTATTATGCTTTTCGTAGAGAACATGAGTAACTAAATTTTTATTGTAGGATTTTATTGGAACCCTATGTGGTAATTCGAACCTCTTTTTCGACTTTTATGCAAGTTTAATTCTTCGATTATTTCTTCTATTTTGATCGTATTTAGTGCATGAGCGTAGCTAACTTATATTGCTATTAGTTATTGTTAGAATTGATTGACAGATCGTTTTAATAATTAGAACAAGGATAGAAGAGCCTTCGAGTAGTTCTCACCGGATGAGTGTGTTAATTGCATGTATTATCGTAGATATACAGATAATACCTTAGGTAGCCGTTTGCGAGACTTGTTATTTAATGCTTTATTTATACTAGGTTTGCATAGACATATAGTGAATCTTTTATGAATTATAGGCTTATAGCCCAGCGACAGCTGGTTATGAGTAATTTCGTGTCTTGGGTTAATAATCGGGAATTGTAACTTGCATGATAGGAGATTAACTGGGTGAAGAATTATCGCATAGGGGGAAGATAAAATCCTAGATCCGTTTTATATTGATATTTTCTCGTGATTAATTTGCTTTCTTAATTAGTTTAATTTATTTAGTTAATTAATTTGACAACCCTGCGTAGGCTGGATAAAAATCATAATTGTTAGGATTTGGTACATAGGATTAAATAATTTGCATATTCCCTGTGGGATCGACATCCGACTCTTACGAGTCTACTTTACTACTTGTTTGCAATACGTGCACTTGCGTGTTGGTATTTAGCACCCAACATGTACTTAGCTCGAAAGTCCCTCGTGCGGCATAGCCAATGCATACACCTTTACAAAAATCGGAAAAAAAAAATTATGAAAAAATAAATCAACAATCTCTTTTTTTTGGTTCGAAATGAAACGAATCTTACCAAAGGGAGTCCGGCGATGTCGAGTGGCGAACAATTAATCACATACTCTCTACCCGAAAAGCTCAATACATAGTTTCTTGACGTGCTGTCATCATATGATTGGCACGTGAGATTTCCGACTTCGCTAACTCCATAATCAACTTCGCATAATAACTGAAACACCACTCGATCGCCAGCTAAGATCATACGAGTGTTTGGAATCCCTTGAGCTAGAACACTCCCATCCCTTTTAGAAGCCAAATAAAAGCTCCCATCGTAAAATCTTTGTAACAGCCCGCATTTTCATAAGCATTTATATATGATTATATTGAATATATAGTAAATATGAATACAAGTGCATTTCGTGAATCGAGTAGTAAGTTATACATTCTCTATGTGTTTATGTAATTTAGATACATTATAGTATTTTTAGAAGTAGACATCATTGTTTTATTAATTGAGTAGTTGATTCTAATTATGTGATTAAATGAATCAAGTTACCATCTAAGTAACTCATGCTAATTGGGATTGTATATGTGCATATATATTTTATGCTAATATATAATATATGATGTGGACATAATAATGTATGTCATATTATGTGAATGTGTATGTTTATGATATGATATGTGCTAGGATTTATTTATGTGTGTATATATGTATGTATGTTATATGTGCATATTTAATTGATGTATATGTATGTGACATACATGACATAGAACCGCTTTCTCTCTCTCGGTTTGAGCATAGGAAATGCCACACCATTTATCTTTTTTATTATTTTAATATTATTTTGTATATATATATATATATATATATATATATATATATATATATATATATATATATATATATATATATATATATATATATATATATATATATATATATATATATATATATATATATATATATATATATATATATATATATATATATATATATATATATATGTAGGATATATATATATATATATATATATATATATATATATATATATATATATATATATATATATATATATATATATATATATATATATATATATATATCTCCCGATAGAATTATATATATATATATATATATATATATATATATATATATATATATATATATATATATATATATATATATATATATATATATATATATATATATATATATATATATATATATATATATATATGGATTAAAAAAAAAAAAAACAAAACAAAATCACATCTCCTAGAGGCGATTTTTGCCTTGTCAGATTTTTGGTAGAAATCGCCTCTAGGAGTGGAGTTTTACGCCACTTTCATAAATTCGAAAAAAAACCACACCATTTTTGTTAATGACTTTTACTATTACACCATTTATATAAATGACCCTATATATGTGTGTGTGTGTGTGTGTGTGTGTGTGTGTGTG